CTGGACATGGCCTCCATGTTCTTCCAGGAGGCGTTGTCCAACCAGAACAACAATGGCGGAGGAGGAGGAGGAGGAGGTGGCGCTGGTTTGGCAGGTGTGGCCTCGCTAATTGGCACCTTCATGCAGGCCAGCGGCAAATCCGGAGGAGCAGGTGGCGGTGGTGGAGCAGGTGGAGCCATGCAAATCCTCTCCGGCCTGGGCAGTCTCCTCTCCAAAAGCGGCGGTCAGGGCGGCGGCGGCGGTTTTGATCCCTCCATCATAGGCAATGTCCTGGAAATGTTCACCCAGGGCGATGATGAGGAGACCGCTCCCAATCAAAAGCGCAGCAATGGCGGCGGTTCCGAATCTGGCCTTGGCCTGGACACCATCCTCCAGGTGGCATCGGCCTTCATGAACACCCAGGGCAACAACGACAAGGCCTCACATCATCACCAGAAGCGTTCGGCCGGCGAGGAACCGGAGGCGGATAATGGTCTGATGAATCTTCTGCCATTGGTCATGCAGGCAGTTAGCTCCTTCGCCGGTCCCGAGGGTCAGCACACCCAGGAGAAGCACAAGAGCCACGCCTGGGTGCTGCCCCCCTTCCTGGAGCACATCCACGTGCTCTGGGATCACTTCTCCAACTCCGAACTGGCCGACGCCTTGTACGAGAAGTCCGGAGTCAACAAGATCATGAAGGTGGATTTCTAGATAAGATTAAACTAGCTTATAGGGCATTAGCATATGAAGAGTAATCTTGAGATATTTTTGAAGCATTTTATATTGGGTTTTGATAAGAGTTATCATTCTTTCTTTCTTTTCAAAATATTAAAAACAATATTTAAAGAATTGATAGAGATGTCTGTACTAAGTACACAATTAAAACCAAAATAAATTAAATACGAAATCAATACTTACTAATCGATGGATTTAAAAGTTTTATTCAGGAAAAGTCGAATAAATAAACAACGGAAAAAATTAATATAATTATATAAATTAATATAAAAATAATAAATTCTAAATGAGATAACAATTTTAATAAAGCTTAGAAGTAGATTTCAAATACATACGATTTTAGGTCACCCTTTAAAAAATATTTTATTAAAATATTAGATAACAAAAATTGTAATAATAAATTCTAAATGAGATAATAATTTTAATAAAGCTTAGAAGTAGATTTCAAATACATACAATTTTAGGTCACCCTTTAAAAAATATTTGATTAAAATATTAGATAGATTACTTATTTTCTAACATTTAAAATTTACATTCATAATTCTAACTACTCTCCTTACTCTCCTTATCTCCTCCTTCAGGGCTTCAAGGGCAGCGATGGCAAACTGGACTACGACAAGCTCTTCGAGTCGCTGAACAACCAATCCTTCCGCCGGCGGTGGATCAAGTCGGCCACCCTCTACCTGGCCGACTGGGCGAGCTACCTGGCCAATCCCGATGTGTATCTCAAGTGAGTGATGAGACCCGGCCTACGTGGCTCGTTCCTAAGTCCGATGGGCTGACCAAAGAGTGCTAATTGTGGATCACGTTCTGCTCTGCAACGGTCCCAATGCATTTAGCACCTGGCTGCGATTCTTGGACCACTTCCAACTCCAAGACCAAGTCCAAATCCGATTCCAATTCCAATTCCAAACAGCTGCTCGCGAAGCCTGTGCTAACCATTTCCCGTTAGCGACAACCCGTTTCCCATCGAGCATGTTCGATGCGGCTACCTTTTGACCCACTTTTTTCGGCGCTGGTGCTTTTAGAACGTGCCTGCTAATCCAACTGGTCAACATCAACAGAACCAAGTTCCAAGTCCAGGCTCTGATACAGTTACAGTTGATATGCAGAAGATACAGAAGTCAACGGCATCGTTAAAACAAACAAATAAACAAAGCGGGCCAAAACCGGTTGCCCGGTTTTCAGCCAGGGGAAATTGCTTGAGAAGGCAGGGTACACTTGACCGAAAAATTTCTCCATAAGAGTTCCATCAATATTATTATTGATTTTAATTATAAAGTTGGCTAAATCTTAAAGAAATGTATTTTTAAGGTCGGTATAATACATTTATCTAGTACCTGAAAAATGACTTGAGAATTATAAGATAGGTATACTTGACCGAAAAATTTCTCCATTAGAGTTAATTATAAAGTTGGCTAAATCTTAAAGAAATGTATTTTTAACGTCAGTACAATACATTTATCTAGTACCTGAAAAATTACTTGAGAATTATAAGCAAATTAAGGTAAATGTTTTCTCAGTGTACGACTTGGTATCAGACATTTTTGCATGTCTTTAAAGTAGGTCAGGCTTCTCAGACTTCTTGGTCTTCTATTTTTGCGCGTTGCCCCATCATTAGACAGCAACTTCCACTTTCTAGCGACCCTTTCACTCGACGATGGTGGTGCTGCGTCATCGAGACTCATCAATTGTCCGCATTTCGCCCCTCTTTCGCTACAGGTACTTCCAGACGGCACAGATCATGTTTAACGGCCTGCTGAAGTCTCAAGGTTACCCCAAGCAGACCCACTTCGATCCCTCCCGTCCGGGCGAGACCATCTCGAATCTCTTGGACCATGTGGCCAAGCATCATCTGAGCGTTAAGATCGATTCCAGGCAGTATGTAAAGCCGGCCGTGGGCTATGCCAAGGAGCTATTAAAACTGGGCCAGGCACGCGGATTACTGCAGTTCAACGCCACCGAGATCAGCGACAAGCTAACGGATACGCTAAACCTCGAGGTAAGCAGATTGTTTGATTCTCTAAAGATCTGGGAACTGGGTTACTTAGCCAGTAATTGGAGCTCTTTATCTGCGAATAGGAAATAGCTGTAGTGAAAATTATAGCACTAATTAAATAGGAGTTCTGGGTATCAGAAAGAATGGTGTGGAAATATTTTAAAAATAGATTTGGAATGTTTTATAAATTATTTTAAACTAAAAGCTTAGTTTTGAGCTTTATTTATTTCTTAAATATTTGATTTTAAACAATGTTTGTAGGATTTTTTTAAAATTTCAATCTAATATTTTAAAATTAAGAAACTATCGTACAATTAATGAAAGTACATGGTTAAGATACAATTGTTCTAACCGCATTCGTACTAAATACTAAACTTGGATCAAATTAAATTAATTACGCCACTATTTTCTCCTCCACTCCATGGCTCACGCACTCGATCGAATCTAACAATGGACCAAATGCCAAACAGGTTATCGAACCGGTGCTGAAAGTCCACCGCGCCTACAGATACATCTCCAAGTCGCCGCAATGCGATCGTTACGTGCTCTGCCAGATGAACGCAGAGGCTCTCGATCAGCAGGAGAAACAGAAGCAGCATGACCAATATCAGCAGCAGCACCAGCCGAAGCAGAATCGACAGACATCGACGTCCAGCCTAATTGCCGGAGTCAGTCCGAAAATCGTCAAGATCGGCAGCATGGGTGCAGCGATCTTCATTAGCACGGAAACCGGTACGCCGTTCTGGACGCTGTTCGGTGTGATCAATGCGCCATACAATTGCGAGGTGAGTAACGGCCACAATGATGCACAGAAAAAAATTAGAATGGCATTAAATTGAGAGTGGCATTAAAAAATATTAAAAAATCTCTATACAACCCTAGTCAAAAGTATTTTCACAAATTTGAATGCTAACTGTACTCATATTTTGAACTTATAATATAAACATTTTGGCACCTATGGCAACAGCACTTCAATTCCGTTTAAATGACACAAAAATGTTCTTAACCCATTAAGCACCCTTTGAAAAGTTAGAAAATTAGACATTTTTTTTGAAAGTCAAATTTTCAACTTTTTTCCTGGGGCTTAAAACAAAAATGTTTTGATGCAAAGTTGTTCCTCAATCAAAATTAATAATAACTGCAACAAAAAAAAATTTCAAAATATTTTTCCTTGTATTTTTTATAATTAATTGAAAATGGCTAAAAATTACAATTTCTTTTTCTTCCTTTTCATACAAAATTTTACAAAGATGGATCCATCCAAAAATTCATAAAAAATACAAGGAAAAATATTCTGCAAATTACCATTGTTCTCTTAAAAGAAATTTTAAAAATTCTCATGTCAAGATCTTTAATGTCATATATTCTTTTTTATTTATTTATTTTTCTTTCCAACTTTTTTTAAAACCTCTCTAATAAATATTATTTTTTTTCTCTGTACCTCTTTTTGTCGCTGCTTTCTAACCGCTATTTCTGCAATTGCCCGCCAACAGGCCAAATACCCAGTCGACTGCAATGGTTTCCACGAGGGCGAGGCCAAGGTGACTACGGAATATATCCACAACGAGCTGTAGTCGCCCCATTCTAGGTGCAGATCAAGATCTAGCTCAAGATCCCAAGGAAATGGAGGAGACGAAGGTTCAATAAGACGATTTAGCTGTAATTGAGATAAAGATTTCGTGTGTATATAGTATTACGGATTGAAATACATTTAAATTTAAACTAACGTGTTTGACTGGCTTCTCTTTTTATGTGTATCTTAAAATAAATAACCTTATATTGAAACAATGGTAAATGAATAAAGGTTTCACTTTTTTCCGAAAGAAAATAAATCTAAAACTGAAGTTAAAAATCAAACAATTCGTATTGAAAGTAACAATCATTAAATATTCATGAGGGTCGTAAAAACTGAAGATTATTGTCTAATGATAGTTGTTATGTACAGATTGCCCGATCTCTTTGGAGTCAACGAACCGCAAGAGAAAAGCTATCCAACTACAGTTAAACTCACGTAAGTGGGATCTTTTACTACCATATAAAAATAGGTTTTAGGTATTGCTTTTTAGACAATTTTTAGCAATTTAATTTAATTTAGATTACTTTGAATGCAGTTCATTTGGTTTGGTAAATTAAATTGAAGTTTGTATTATTTACAGAAATTTAGGGAAAGTTATGGGAGCTTCACTTTAGTTTAAATCTTTAAAACTTTTCCCGGACAAAAACCAGTTCATGTGTGTGAAAACTCGCCAGGGGCATTTTCACAATTTTCATTTCAGTGGCTCGCTTGAACTTGGACTTGCCACTTCGTCTTGACTTCGAATTCATTGTGCTTTTGTTTTTTGGTCATAATAGTCGATACATTTTGACCATGCAGCTGATCTATCGCGAACTGGAGGCGGATATAGTCCGTCGTACTAATGCAGTATTCCCGGCCCAAAATTGCTTTGTGGAAGTGCTCCCCGACCACTTGATAATTCCGCGGAAGTACGTGGAGCTGGGAGAATCCATTCGTTCACTTCCGGTTTATGAAGACGATGTGTGGATGGTGTCCTATCCACGTACTGGATCCACTTGGGCCCAGGAGATGGTCTGGCTGCTGGGTCATAAGTTGGATTACGTAGCCGCAGAGCAGGACTTGCGATTGCGTTCCCCACTCATCGAACTATCCGCTCTGTTCAGTACCGATCATCATGAGACGGTGGCGTGAGTATTAAATTATATGAAATCAAATCGAAATTGGTGTACAATTTTACTACAGCTTTACACCACACCTAAAAATTTGAGTAGATCAGTGAGATTATATCTAACTAAAATTTACGATATTTCATATGATTTAATTAAATATGTTCAATGTTTTTTGGACAAAATATAAATTATCTGAAAAACAATAATTAATTCGTAATGGCCATCTAAATTTCAGGTCATGCAAAACCCAGATCGTTTTTACATGAATTACTCTTCAACCAGTTCAAATTTACCCGGCCGCATATCAAATTAAAATTGATCTTAAATAATGCATACGTTTCATATCGATTTTTCTTTGGGTATATATAAATATCGAGATCTACTACCAGTTGATGTTTAATGTTGTTGATGTTGATTGAACAAACACTTTTAAAAAGCTTCATTTATCAAATTTAACTTTCTCTCTGCTTGGTAGCGAAAAATTTGGAAATACCGTTGAACTGGTTCGCAATCTGCCCCGCCCACGCTTCGCCCGATCCCATTTGTCCTGGCAATTATTACCGGAGCAATTTGAGACGGTGAAGCCGAGGATTGTTTACACAGCTCGAAATCCCAAGGACCTTTGCGTTTCCTACTACCATTACTGCAAATTGCTGCACGGAATCAATGGGGACTTTGAGCAGTTTGTGGATCTCTTTCTGGAGGGACACACTCCCATGGGATCCTATTGGAAGCACGTGCTGCCCTTTTGGAAACGGAGCCAGGACGAGAATGTGCTGTTCATCAAGTACGAGGACATGATCAAGGATCTGCCGAGTGTAGTTCGTCGCTGTGCCAGATTTCTCGGCGTTCAGAGTCTCCTGGATGCTTCCAGTTTGCAGAGCCTCTGCGATCACCTGACCTTCGACAAGATGCGGGCCAACAAGGCGGTGAATTTGGAAAAGTTGCTTCCGGATTCAGCTACCAAGTTTATAAGGAATGGCAAAATCGGCGACTGGCATAATCACATGGGAAATGAAATGTCCGAGCGTTTCGATGCTTGGAGTGAGCAGCATGTTCGCGGTGCTGGATTAACCTTTGACTACGAATGATTTTATTTGATTAAAATACAAATTTGTTAATTATAGTTCTGTAATAATTAATTAATTATTGATTCCCGAGATCGACAGTAGAGTACGAAACTTATTGATGTTTTAAAAAGTTTATATACATTCAATCGTATCAAGAAAAAGGTTTTATAGGAATCGCTTTAAATTTTTTTTTAATGAGAGCCTATTTTGAAAAACGGGTAGTCTGAAATCTAAAATTTAAAAATCTGTTTTAGCTGAAAGATGGATTTGACTAAGATAAATTATTTTTATTTATATGTAGTCCCAGCACCTTCCGTAAATTTATCAACAAAATTTGGTTCTCCCTAAAAAATTTAAAACATTTTTATATTAGTGTTATCGAAAATTAGCTTGGTGACGAAATCAAATACATATAACAGAAATTTAACATTCTGTTAAACGGTCTGTTATTCTGTTAAATCGATAGTCGCTAACGTTGTTATCGAATTTTGCCGGTTCTATTGTTTACTTTTTTGTTCTTGCCTTGCTTTATTTTGGTAAATTAAATTAAATACAAAATGACATGTGATGACACCACCGAGGCCCTCGTGGCCCACATGTGTGAGCTGGTGCAGTTCTACATGCTGCCGGAGTTGAAGGAAGATCTGGACAGCATCCCACTGGAGGCGTCGCAATTCGAGAGCTACCACTCTCTGCTCATCCAGGATCTGCCCAAGCTGTACGATTTGGTGCAGGAGTTCCTCCAGAAGAGTGGCGATGGAGGCCACGAAGAGGTTACAGTCCATCAAATTGTATTGCCATAACTACAATTCAGTTACCTTTCAGATGAGAGTCAATCTCCTCCTGCTGATTTGCGAATTGACAGCGTCTCCAACTATTTACCAACTGAAGGATGGTAATCTCTTGAGGAACGCCAACGAGTTGGCCAAGAAGCTATCTTCCAACTGGTGGCAGTCCACGGATGTGCAGGTGCTGAAGTATTACGAGAAAAAGCTGCACAGGGATTGCTGGAAGAAACAACTGGGAGCTGTGCATGGTTTCGGTAGATATCTGGAGGTAAAGAGTAATACTATATTTATCCTTATGGTATATTTTATTTTTGATCCTTTTTCCGCAGTTACGTTATGGGGATAAATCCAGAATGCCCACCCGAATGCTGGCCTTTGCCCTGTCCGTGGGTCTCAATGTGCGGGAATGCTACGATCCCATCTACAAACAACTGGGCGTCAAGATCTTCTCAGTGATGCTGAAATATAGCGTGGGTTTTTTTTAGGTCATTAAAACCAAGATCCTAGGTCTTAAACTGATTATATTCCAGGACCCCAAAGATATTCAGGAGCTGAATGTGCACAGCGTGATATATGACCATGCCCTCAAGGATGCCTACAACATGGAATCCATTGAAGCCATCGATTCCGTTTGGAACTGCATGTATTTGTGCCTGGATCACTTTGTAGATCTGGATGCCTTTACGGTTGGTAAACACACTAGAGCCCTGCGTGAATCATTCAATTTTTGTTTTATTATAGTATGCCATGAAATTTGATTTGATTTGTTTAATTTTGAATTGAATGAATGAATAATGATATTTATGAATTTTTTTTGTGCTTTCTTTTGAGAACATTTTTAACAAATCAATGTTAACTGCTTAAAAAATAAAATTCATGCGAAATTATGGCCCTTTCTTCTTCAAAAGAAATTGTCCTTTGAATTATTTCGGAATTCATGCCATTCATTCATTCAATTCTATTAAACTCCAAATTCAAATTCATTCAATTCTATTAAACTCAAAACTCTAATTAATTTATTCATATAAAACCAAAAATTCAAAATAATTCATTGAATCCATTCATGCAGGCCTCGAAAACATACATATTCTCAAACGGCAATAAATAACAACTATTTTTTAGTGGAACCAATGCGACGACATGCTGGACCGCCTCATCCAGAATGTGACGATGGCCTCTAGCCCGAAAATATCCATCTGCCTGCTGCAGTTCATCACACGACTGGGCTTCTACTTCACCATCAATCGCAGTGGCGTGGAAGCTGCTCTGGCCACGGATATAAGTCAGTCAGAAAAGCTGGCGGCATGTCGGGAAGAGTGCCTTGCTCTGAACGCCAGCACCAGCTTTCGTTGGGCCAAGGCCATCCTGCAAATGCTTGTCCTGGAGTCGGATAAACTCCTCCAAGGCGTGGAGGTTTGCACCGAGCTGCTGGAACAGATGCTGAAATGCTACCTGGTGTGCATCCTGCCCATTCCCCTGCAGGCATTGCATCCTCATCTCTCGGAATTTTATGGAAAGTTTGTGGCTGTGCTAATGGAGTGTCTGGTGACCCATGAGAGGGCGCCGCCAGTTCTAAAGGTATTAGTTCCTTTTCCCCTATTCTTAACTAGCTCTAATAGTCTCACTTCCTCCTCCAGCTCGTTTTGCGATTCACCGAGCTCTTTACCTTTCAACTGGAAAACTGTTCAGCCCAAAAATTACCTGCAGATTTAGCCGAATTCCCGGAGGCTCTAAAAATTATACATAGCAAGATTTTTGAATAAATATCGGTGTTCTTTATGACAAGTAGCGATCTAGTAGTATGCGATACACAATTGTTGCCAATATAGTGTGTGGCACAAGGGATAGAAGCGCCGGTTTCCAGCCAAAGAAGAAACCCCTGTACCCGTGTCTTTTTATAATTTTCCGGCACATGTGCGAGTAGGAATGCTGACCATAGTGCGAGGATTCGTTCAGCGTACGAATGGCCATCCCATCCACGGGGGTCATTATCACCGTGATGATGCCGCCCGTTAAAGCCATAGTTATGAGATCGCTGAGCCACGGCTCATCGAGTCCGTGGAACCACGATATCAACGTACCAACTCTGCCACTAACGGGAGTATACAGCATGGCCACAGCTGTGCTGGAAAAGGCGTTTATCCGCCAGCCGTTGAATAAGTAGGTGAATCCTCCCTTCCTGTACATGCACTTGAGTCCCTGCCAGAAATTCCGGTAGCTAAAAAGGAAGGGTTACTTATTTTCTGGTTTTAAAGTAGTGTCGGGTAAAAACTGCTCATTTAGGTGAACATGTTCATTTGTTCTTTTTTTCAGTTTTTTTTCTCACTCAGTTTGCTCACTTGTTCACTTGTTCTCTCTTTAACTTTTTCACTTGCTCTGAGAAAACAGCTCATTGTTTGTAAAACCGTATGCAAAGTGCATCCTAAAAGTAAAAAAAAATACTTTTTGTGCCAAAAACAGCAAGAGAGCAACTGAGCAAGTGAACTAAAAAGATCAAGTAAGAGAGCCAAACTGAACAAGTGATCAAAAAAGAGCAAGTAAGAAAGCAAAACTGAGCAAGTGAACAAAAAGGAGCAAGTGAGCAAAAATGAACAAGTGAACATGTTCACTCACTCAGTTTTGTGAGCAACTCTTTTTTGTTCACTCATGAACAACCCAACACTATTTAAAAGAAAAACCCCATTCTTTACTTGCGCCTTTCGTAGGATCGTCGCGTGAGATCCGCCTGCCGAATGACTGCCAGTTTGGCAAAGGGCGTGGCAAAGACGCCGCCCCAAAATCCAGTGATTCCCAGCACAGACATAGTGTTGTAGGGCTTTAGCATCAGCACATACTTGTTATCCCGTAAATTGTAGAAGAGGGTATATGAGGACAGGGTGTGAACGGTGCAGCGCAGGCCAGAAGCCGCAATGCCGTAGTAAAATCCGGGTAATCCATGCCTGGCCATCAGACGAAACATGTTCCGCATGGTCAGTCGACTGTGATGGGTGACATTGGCCTGGATATTGACCCGAACCAGCTCCATGGGATGCGACAACAGATTGGCCGACATCTTGATCAGAAAGCCCACGTAGACGGGCATCTTTACGAATTGCTCCATCGTACTGCCCGCATCGCTATTGTTCATTATCTTTACAAATTTATATATTCAGAGAAAATTTTAACTGTTTGTACTTAAAAAACTTAGGCTACTCGCACTCCGCTCGCAGTTTGGCGATCTCCAGCTGCGTCTTTTTCGCCTCCAACATGGTGAGGGTTCGTTTCAGACCCGAGATATCGTTCAACTTGACAAAGTACTCGGATTTGGCCACCAGGTACTCCGTCTCGGCCTTTATGAGATCCTTCTGCAGGCGATTGGCATCGGATGCTAGGGGCTGGGGCACCAGCTGATCCAGATCGGTGAGGTAGCTCACCAAGGTGGGGTCCGTAGTGCGCCCGCTGCCCTCATCCTCGTCCAAGAGTTTCTCCAGCAGATTGCTCGTCGAGATCTCGATAGTTTGTGCGGTGATGGCCGGTTCGGAGGCGGGTGTGCTCGGTTCCGCCGGAGCGCCGGTGGCATCCGGAGCTTCTGTCTTCAGGCACGGGCCCTCGTCCATCTTTACGCCCAGCTCGTCGGTGAGATCCTCTCGAAACTTGGTACAGGATTTCCTGCGGAACATATTCTTTTTACAGACTGTACTTGTAAAAGAGCGGGAAGCGCTGTAATACCGACCTGTGAATGATCAGCCTGTCAATGCTGGTGTTCGATTGGCATTTTCGGCAATGGGTGCACAGGGCCCGGTACTTCTTGGGCCCCCCGGCCTTGTCCTGCTTGAAGGCCGGCAGGAAGCCCAGTTTCTTCCACGTAACGTCCTTCGAAACGCCGACAGCGCGCTTGCCTTTTTTTGCCAGCGACATTTTTTACATTCAGTTCTTGGTAAATTACGTGAAAGTGTTGCTTCGCTGTAGAAACAACCGATGTATCGATAGCTCTTAATGTTTTGGTATCGATGTTCGCTCTTATTTGAATATTCATTTCTTGATTAGTTTATAATGTTCATTGATCTGAGAAAACTATAAAAATAATAATTTACCTTGTGATAAACAGTTTTCAGATAAAATCTATTTAAATTGAATGTGCAGAATCAAACCAAATAGCTTATTTTTAGTGGCTAAATATAAATAAAAATTATGAAACCTCTGTAAAATGATGTTCGTTAATTATATAAAAATATGTTTGAAATCTTACTTGCCATTTTATTTTATATTCCATTTTATTTCCATTATATAAAGAAAATCAATTGTTTTTAAAAAAACCAACTATCGATATAATCGATAAAAGGCTATCTAAAGATAGCGTGGATTTTACCTCTAGCGTAGAAGCCATTTTGCATCCGTGTATAGTAAATAGAAATTTATTGCTTTTTTGCGCTTAAAAATGCCGCGGAAGAAATCTGAAGACTTTTACAGGACCCACGGGTTCACTGCGAACTTCAAGAACGGCAAATACTCGGCCACATGCCATAATTGCGACAGGGTCCTCCAAAACACCGCGCTTTCCCGTCTATCGTTACATAGGTAAACATACAAACATACAATAATAATCATAATATTTACATACGTCAAGTAATTCTTTTTAAATTGTAGGCAAACCTGTGATGCGAAGCAAAGTAGATGTCCTGTAATATTGAAAGACGAGGACGTTAGTCCCAGGATCAAGGTAATTATGTGCACAGTTCGTATTTAAAAGCAGCAGACACATATGTATGTATATGTATGTGTGTATGTACATGCCGTATAGAGATCGAATCCATAGGAAATTCTTAGTTCTAATGAGTTATTCACTTTAATTATAACAAAAAAATAGCTAAAATGGGAACTTTTCGAAATTTATTTTTTAGATCCAGAAAATTTCAGACGACGACGATGACACCGAGGGCAAGGAAATTATTGTTAAGGTAAGATGTTAGAATCACACAAGGTTTTAAAGGAGAAACTAAAGATATATTCTAGATCCAACAAATTCTGGACGAGGTTAATGAGGCGGAGACGGCCAAGTCCCAGCCCAGAATAAAAACTGAGATTCGCAAGACGAAATCGTCTAAAAATGAAGACGCGGAAGAGCAAAATCTGGAATTTGAAATCTCAAATGTGGAGATACCAAGCCGCGACTACGTTGAGTATATGGACGAAAGCAAGGAGGTAACTATTCTAAATTGTTTGGCATTTTGACGTCTTAACGCTTATGGAGCAGCATTACATATTGCAGCACAATCCGGATGATTTGGCCAATGGGACGGCGACTATCGTCGAAGCCAGGCCAAGAAACAATTTGGCCACCCTGAGAGCGGAAAAGGATCGAGCCGTGATCAAACAATACCAGAGCAAGACCCAGTTTCTGAAAACTGAAACGGAGAACCTGAAGCTGGAGCGCACTCTAACTTTGCTTCGGATTCAGAAACTGCGATTGGAAATCGACGCTCTACGCGCCTAAAATTAATTTTAATTTTATAGCCTTCATCATAACGAACAATTTGTAAATGTCCGGACAGCGACCTTTTTGTTATACATATGTTTGTATATCGAAAGATGTCTGTTTTAAAATTATATGTTTTTAATGTCTTATCATTTTGTAAAGTGAAATACAGAATAAATTAGTTTAAGCAGCATGTACTTTCAATAAATATTAGAAGAAATTAAAAACAAAGATTGGGTTCTCTTTAAAAAGAATAAATTTCGTATTGATTAATTTTTATTTACAGGTTTTTATACCAAGAAATTAAATAAATTTTTAAAATCTAGCAATTTAAATAAATACCATTTGATACCATCGATAGCTTAGACTAGTCGACAACCCTGCACACACACATTCGATAACCGCCCGCAGCAACCCTGCTCATCACATGATAGCCAGGGAGATTTCGGGGAGGAGAAAAGGTTTTTCTTTGCAGTCGTTCGTCATATGATTAAAAGTCCAGCGGAAAACTGAAAATGTTGCGGATTTGCGTGATTTTCTCGCTGTTTATTGCAGCCAGTAAGTAGAACTGTCACTAAATAAAACAAGGAATGCATTTGCAAAAAGAGGACAGCGGTTAAAAAGTGGATATTCTGTACTCATCGATTCTACATATGTAGTTTGGGGGTGGTGACACCCAAAACTCGGGACTTCCACTTGCATGCGCAGAATCTTGGACAAAGGAGATGAGTATAGCTTGTTCCACGATACTTATGAGGTCTGTTTTTATCCTATTCCACAGTCAACGCCGCTGGCGAGTTCACGGTGCTGAATCGCCCCAAGGCAATCAGTTTCAAGGGCAACGATGCACTGGAGAGCCACTACGTGGGCGATGTGCTCTACGCCTCCCTGGGCAACGCCGTCACCGGCGACTCCAACTGGAGCGGCCTGACCATCAACGATCCCTTCAATCTGGCCAAGGGCGTCATCGTGGTGCACGTCCAGGGCATCAGTCACGTGACCACCGCCGGCAACGTCAAGTCCTACGAGCTGACCGGATCCGGAACGGACGCCTCTCTGAACGCCCTGGCCGCCGAACTGGAAGCCGCCAACGAGCCCGTCTGCGACATCAACTTCGAGCAGTTCGACGATGGCGTAAGTGGAACTCAATTGGGGGGAAAAACCATATCAGGAGTGCCCAGAAATAATCTTGGCACTAAAAATAACAGTATTACATTTTATAAAGTGACGAATCACATGGTTATTTTAAAAAGTTTACCCAAAGGCGCTTCTTTATAAAATTTTTCTTATCAGGGGTCTCAGGAATTAATTATTTAATTGTACAAATTGTAATGAAATGCATAGATTAGTAAATGCATGCTTAGTATTAAAAAAACAGTATTTCATCAAAGACATTAGGCCCCATAAAGTAACGAATCACATGTTCATCAAGGGGTTATTTTCTAAAGTTTACTTAAAGGCGCTTCTTTGTAAAAATTTTACTTATCAGGGGTCTCCAGAAATAATTTTGTCATTGTACAAATCGTAATGAAATGCATAGATACTATCTATTAGATAGCTTAGTAATTATTATATCTTAATAATGGGTTAGTAATGAGTAATGATTGGATTTTAGGTGATATCTTTTTTTTTTTAAATACGATTTAATTCCACATTTGATTGGTTACAAATTTTATTTATTTAGATATAATTAGATTTTGGCCAAACTTAATTGATGTTTTTGTAAAAAATGTTAACCAATAAAATTTGGCTTTAAATATTATTTAAGGTAATACTATACATTAGCGGACTCACCCCCGAAATTCGCGAAAAAATTATCCTCGATGGACCGCGATTTCTTAAGAATTTACGTGCAAAAAGAACTTGGCGGTTGGCCATGTTTCTCTTGTAATTGAATTTCAAAGTTCCCGGGTTTGCTATAAAAAACAAGTATGCTTTTCAAACGTTTGCTATAAAAATCATATATGTATATATGTACCCTTTTCCTTTTTTGTCAAAATAGGACTAATTTAAAATTCCAAACATCTGAGTAATTGGTATTAGAGGGAAGTAGTCCTCACAACCGCGTAAAAATGATCCTCGATGGACAGCGATTTCTTAAGAACTCTCATAACCATGGATGACCACATGTGTATTTTTATTATGATAATCAGAAGAAATCGCGGTCCAAGGAGGATTATATATTTTAACCTTTCTTTTAGTCTTTTCCACCCAAAACCAAACTTAAAGATTGAATTTGTTTTTCTGAGCGACACAACAACTCTTATTTAGCTAAAACTACTTGTTTAATACAGAACAAGAAAAAGTGCGCCGCAGGCGAAATAAATTTAAGAAAAAATCGCGCGATTTTTTCTTAAATTTTTTTTGCTTCCGGCGCAGTCTTTCTTTTACTTTCTTTTTTAAATGCACTACTTTCAAATACTTCCTATTCGGGAATACTTCAGCAGAGAGATTTCTAGGCCATAAAAGGTTATTAAAGAAAAAACCTGGATTTTTTCTTAAATTTTTTTTGCTTCCGGCGCAGTCTTTCTTTTACTTTCTTTTTTAAATGCACTACTTTCAAATACTTCCTATTCGGGAATACTTCAGCAGAGAGATTTCTAGGCCATAAAAGGTTATTAAAGAAAAAACCTGGAACTTTACCTCGATGGTGGTGCGGAAAAGTGTTCATTAAAACTATTTAAATTAAAAAAATTTTTTATAGGAACCTATTTAAACAATTAAATTATTATATAGGAACTCATTTAAACAATATATTAATTTTATAGGAACTCATTAAAAAGTAATTACTTTGATTGAAAATATGAGAAAAGCACCCTTGTTTTTTATAGCAAAACCGGAAACTTTGAAATTAAATTACAAAAGAACCATGGCCGACCGCCAAGTTCTTTTTGCACGTAAATTCTTAAGAAATCGCGGTCCATCGAGGATAATTTTTTCGCGAATTTCGGGGGTGAGTCCGCTAATGTATAGTATTACCATCACATGATCCAAAAAGTAAGGATTATTAAAAGTATATTAAATGGAATTACTTTCCTTTTATAACTTTTACATTTTCAGGGTAAATCTTCGCCCTTTCAATAGTTATGTTAACAATTTATAAGAAAATTTAGCTCTAATTACGTAGCCATCAATTAGAGCATTCATCAGACTTTATTAGGTTATAAATTATATAAAATGTATGTGTATATATTAGTAGTTTGCAGATAAATAACTATTTTAGTTATGTGGTTTTCCCCCTAAAAAAAACTGAAAATTTATTCTAAACCTATCTTTATTTATAGGTTCAAGCCTGGAAGTCCTGCTTTGGCGACTTTGAGACCCCCGCTGCCAAGCCCACCAAGCACCTGAACCCCTCGCTGCACTCCGCTGACAAGCAGTTCTTGCAGGAGGTTGGATTCATCAACGCTGCATCCGAGCATCTGGCCGAGATGGCCAAGCCCTCGAATGTCCTGCTGATCCGCGTCTCCGTCGATGGAGTGGCCAAGGCTCATGGCGAGAAGTCCGTGGCCGTGGATGAGGCCAACAAGCTGCTGTCCGCCGCCATTGGCCGCCTGCTGGCCGCGTCCCAGAAGTCCAGCGACTCGGTCCTGTTTGTCCAGACCACGGAGAAGGATGTGGCTGCATCGCGCGCCAAGCGTGACACCCTCGCTGCTTCCACCACCAACCCCTTCAACCTGGCTGTGTACTACAACAGCGACTACCCCGTGATCTTCAACATCATCCTCTGGTTCATGGTCGTCTTCGGACTGTCGCTGCTGGCCATCTGCTATGCCATCGCTGCCATGGATCCCGGCAGGGACTCGATCATCTACCGCATGACCTCCACCCGCATCAAGAAGGATAACTAAGCGCAGGAGGAGCAGAGGAGCGGAGGAGCTTGCGTTACGCTTTGTTATTTCGTCCCCTTTTTGAGTTGCAATTGGCCAACTTCTACTTCAATCCAACAGCGGATAAACTGTGTGTGTGTGTGTGCGTACAGCTGTCGCAGTAGTTGGCTCTATTATCTATACATAAGTATTAACAAACTTATCAGTTTTCGATGCAGTTGCGGCTGAGCAACAATTCCATAGCAATTTGTTACATTTTCCTGTTTTGTTGTACTTTTTAGGTTTATATATATACGAATATGCACAACATACTCGCCAAGTCAGTCAGTTCTTCAATCGATTCATCATATGTAAATTATCAAAATGTGAAGTGTTAAAAAGTAACGTTAAATATATATAGCCTAAAAAGACAAGGTTGTTGATCTAGTTATTGGGGGGAGAAGATATATATCTCTATTAACTATATTTTATTCTCGATTTATTATTTTATTATTGCACTTATAAAAAGTTTAACACGTTACACTTATGAAAAGTTAAAGCTATACTTTTCCAAAATAGTTGACTCTAAAAATTTCAATTTTGGCTATTTAGATAGTGGAAAGACTTCTTATCAGTTGGGCTGTTTGTGAATTTTCTTTGGCTGACTGCACATAAAACTTAAATATCTTGATTATTTAAGTTCGGTGGTCCTTTACCAGGAGTTGTATCCTTAATAGTGCATTAAAATATTTGTTTTAAGCTACGCTCCCCAATGGTCGTTGGCATTGTCATAGGGTGAACTACTCCCGCCACTCCAGGCACAGCATCCACCGCCATTTTGAGCCCCAGAACTCTCTCGCAGCATGGCCTGCAGGTGATTGATGTAGTTAATGGCAATCCTGAAGGGTGAAATTTTAGTTAATATATTTTTAAACAAGAAAGGAAGCTAGCTTCGACAAGCCGAAGTTTATATACCCTTGCAGGTTTGCCTACTTAAAATTTTCTTTTTACAATGTCAAAAATCAAAGCTCCTACTTTCTACACTAGTCGGCATAATTATTTTGACAGATTTGAATGTTAACTGTATTCATATTTTGAACTTATAATATAAACTTTTGGCACCTTAAATGACACAAAAATGTTCTTAATCCATTAAGCACCCTTTGAAAAGTTAAACAATTTTTGTGAAAGTCAAATTTTAAACTTTTTCCTGGGGCTTAAAACAAAAGTGTTTTTATGCAAAGTTTTTCCAAAATAATAATACCTGCAAAAAAAACTTTGCATCAAAACATTTTTGTTATCAAGTGTAAACTCACCTTAAGCTCTCAATTTTGGAGTACTTTTTTCCATTGGGCTTGGAAATGGGCAGCTTGGAGCGCAGCAAATCAAAAGCCCGGTTCATATCCCGCATCCTGGTCCTCTCCCGATCGCAGGCGGTGCGTCTATAGTCCTTCTCCATCTGCAGTGCCTTCTCGCGCCAGGCGGGATTGTGTTCCTTGGAGATATCCACCTCCGTGCTATTGGCGATACTACCGCCGCCGTAGGACATGTAAATGGGTGGTGGCACCAGCTCACTGGGTTTGCTGCTCTCCAGAGCCACCGGCGAACCGGAGGCCATCTGACCGGCAGCATGCCACATCGACACCGGCTGGGGGATCACACTGTATGTGGGTGGTGGCAACAGGCCCAAATTGGGTGGCTCCATCAAGCCGGGTGAGTAGCTGTGCGGGTGGCCGTGTGGCGCATAGGCCAGCAAACCTCCTCCGTCGGGGGTTAAAGTGTAGTTGAGACTGACTGCTGGACAGCTGGCGGATTGGGGAGCACCCAGCTCGAGGAGGACGGGCTGGTCCGCCGGATCCGCCTCGCCCTCGGAGCCACCACTCAAATAGGGTCCACCTGTGGAGGCGGGCAGGGGCACCAGAACCGCCGGGGGATCCCCCGTAGCACTGGCCGCGGAGCTCAGCAGTTGATCCGTCATCGCCTAAGCCGCTTTTCGAATGACCGATCGAGAATTCTGGGCGGACTGAAGCAGGTTTACCTGGACTCTTACTTTTCTTTCTTTCTTATTTTTTATTTCTTATTTTTAGTGCATTAGAGACTCTGCGCGAATCGTGATGAATGGCTCACCATCGATCCGATTCGAGACGTGACTACTCATCCGGGGTTGATGAGAGCCACATCCCGTCTAGTTCAAGGGGCCACCTCTTTTGTACGTGTGTCAACAAGTTATCTATGGGGGACCAACTTGTCGTCAAGGATCCTTTTGTCAGGTATCTATGCACAAGCGGTGTGCAAACAAAGCGGCTTAATTTCTTCGCTATTGTGCGATCGATCCGACGAGATGAGATGGCGATCGAGGCGCGTGTGGCAGGCTGGAGTTGCGTCCGACTTATGTCGTCCCTCTCTGGGATCAGCGATCGACGGTCGACGGCTGACGATCGTCGCCACAACTTCAGTTTGAGTTTTTCTTTTCGATCGCTATATACAAACACCCACACTGGGTTGGAGCTCAGCACATACATAGGAGTGTATTTTCGACGCATGTAAACACAAGTGTTTTGGCTTAATTAAAAAAAATACATATCCATATACCCAGTTATGAATATACGTCTATATGATGGTAGGAAAAAAAGGCCTAGACACCCTAGCTTAAAGGTTCCCCCAATTCTAATTTTAAACTAATTCGTTTTTTCTTAAAAGTCATGCGTGGACCAGTGAACGCTCCTCATTAAGTTTTAAAATACAAAATATTTATTAAATATCTTTAGAAATAGAATTTCTAATATATACTCTCTGAAACTAGAATAAAATTGTGTAAATTAAATATCTTTAAAAGTAAAATTTATAATATATACTCTCTGAAACTAGAATTAAATTGTGTATAGTTTTAAATAAATTTTCCCCAATCGTTTGTTTTTAACTTGACATATTTTAAAGTTTTAAATGGTCAAACATAAAAAAGATATTTAATATTTTAAATAGTTTGTAAGGTAAGTTAAACACTTCAAAAATTGTAATTTCGTTGATTTAAAAATTCACTCAATTAATCTAGTTTTTTTAGCTATGCATAAAATATACATTTTCATTATTTAAGGTGATTGTAAAAAATTTGTTTATAAATACTTTAATTTCAGAATTTTCCCCAACTAAAACTTAAAGTATTTTTTTTTCCAAATAATCAGCTTATACAGTGAACCCTGCCCGCGAAATCTAACTCATGTGTAAGATCTCCGGTTACCCGCAAACACACGCAACCCAAAAATGGGAAATTACTTACATTTTTGCGAAGCCGAGAGGTATTTTGTTAGCTGGTTTACCAGAGCGGGCCTCTTGCCGGGAATCGGAAATGAATATGAACATAGTTCTACGTAGGAAAACCTAGAGAGTCGCTTTTTTTCTTCCAGACTCTCCTTGGCTTTGGGTTTCGGGTTGCCAGGGAAATCAACAGACCTTTTTACAACGCTTCAAATGTGGGTCACTGCGTTGGCAATTGCAAATCGAAGCCGTTTATTGTTTTCTGTTTTATAAAAATAAACACAGTGCGTAAAAAATAAAATAAATAGCGAGTACAACGATGCATTAAGTGGGCGCCACTGGGGCTCAGAGCCCAGGCATATAGATCAATTCATTATTGCTATTTACATAGGAGTGCCTTAGTCGGTTCGGTGCTGAACTAATCTCGCTTAGTTCGATTTAAGCTAACTTCGTATAAACTGTATTAAGAATCGATGTCAAGCAAATGCAGGTACCTCAACTCGGCTGGAGTTCTAACTGCCGAACTGCAGGGGTCGCAGCTCAAAGAACTTGTCCAGCACTTCGTCCGTGATCAGCTTGCGCGCCGTCTGGTGCTGCTCCACAATCGGTGTGAGGGTCTGAAGGGGAAACCGTATTATTATCCAGTCAGTAGTATATAATTCCACCATTTAACTCACCTCTACAGCCAGCTTCTTGATCTCGCCCGTCAGCATCTCGCCCTTGCTGTAAGCCACTCGCACCTCCTCCAACTTGGCATCGTCCTCGAGGAAGAACTTGAGCAGCTGATAGGACACATCAACTTCTGGCACGCCGCCCAGCTTGCGGTGCTCCTCCACAGTGACGCGTCCGCCCGAGAAGGCGTACTTGTTGATCTTGTTCTTAATTTGCTTAGGCGTGTCAGTGAGAAAAACTGCGGAGTTCTGGTCGCTAGCCGACATCTTCGTTTTGGCGCCCTGCAGCGCCGGGAAGAAGGTGGAGTGGATGAGCGCGCACTTGGGGAATCCCAGACGTGGTGCCACATCGCGGGTCATGCGGAAATACGGATCCTGATCGATGGCGCACGGGATGAGGCAGTGCACCTTCTTGTTGCCGAAAATGAAGGGGAAGGTGCTGGAGATGGCGGGGGCTGCTTGGGCGGCCGGAAAGCCAATTTTGCCAATGATGTCTGAGTCACCGAAGCCAAAGATGCCTTTTACTTGGTTGAAGGTAACGCACTTCTGGATGCGAATTATGTTCTGGTACATGGCAGGGCATTTTCTGAAAGTAAAGGGGATACATTAATAGGGGAACACCCTTCTTTAGTTGATAAACCCACCCTACAAACTCTAGGTTATTAAAAATGAACGTCTTATTCACATCAAATCCCATGGCCACAATATCCTTGGCATTCTCGCGCGCCAGCTTGATGGCATCCTCCACTTTCAGATCCTTCCACAGGGTCTTCTCATCGTCGGTCAGCTGGATGACCAGCGGCACATCGAAGGTCTCCTGCAGCCACTTGGTCATGATGAAGGGCACCAGGTGGCCCACGTGCAGGGATCCGGAGCTGGGTCCGCGACCGGTGTACAGGTAGAAGGGTTTGCCCTGCTCCCGCAGCGTGAGGATCGTGTGCAGATCCCGGTGCGAGAAGAACATGCCGCGCCTGATGAAGTGGTGGGCGGGCTTCCCCGTGATTTTCTCGAAGCGTGCGATGAGTTCCTCATCGATTTTGCTGGAGCCAAAGCGTTCTGCAACGTGTCATCATTTGCAGATTAAATCAGTTGATTAAGAGCACTAGTTAGTTGCTCTGTGAAGGCCATCTTACTTATCAGCTTATCGTAGTCGACGCCCGCGTCATTGGTGCTGGCCACATTCCATGGATCCACGACATCTTCGGCTGGTGCAGTGGCTCCCTCCTGCGCCTGGGCATCCGTACCCGTTTCCACGGGCTCCGCGTCCGCTTTTCCATTCAGCGTTAGTGCCTCCACGCCCTCCACAACCGTCTCCTTGGTGTCGGCCATTTCGTCAGTCTGATTTAAGAGGATCTAACAGATAATTTAATACTGGCCAGTGAAATTGGGCCCTTCACATGTGAAACGAGGCGCTTATTAGTGGTCAATCGATAGTCGTATCGATAAATTGTTTTTTTGGTTAAAAAAAAATGAAAAAATGTATTATTTTAAGTTAAAAAATTTAATAAAAATTACAACTAAAATTAAACATATTTATTTATTTACCTTATTATTTATTAAATATCGATAACACAACTATCGATGTGTTTTCAAATTCCTGAACAGTGACAACTCTGCTCAATCAGCTGTTGAGTTGCAAATTGTGGGTGGAAAATGCAAGCGGATTAATTAATGATTTCCAGCTGAATTAAGGATTTACCAACTCAGACATCATGCCTATCATGTACAACACGGGGGAGTGGTTCAAGGTGCGACCGGACTACTACAGGTGGGTAATCCCCAAAAGATATCGAGCCACTTGAAAGAAACAGAAGGATACGCCCATTAATCCCACAGAAAAGTGGAACTGGCTACGCCCGATTGGCCACTGGACTTGGACTTGGAGTACATGTGGGTGGAGGTGGCTCCCTATGGAGGACCACTGGCGGCCACACGCGATCCCACCAAATTGGTGCCGGTCAAGGGAACCGCCAGGCCAATGATCCGCATCTTTGACACCACCGGCAGGGAAACGGGTCACATATTGGTAAGTAGTATCAAAAGAAGTAACACCTGCTAAAGATACTCCATCCCTTTAGTGGAACCATGGCAAACTGATTGCCATGGGCTGGTCGGACACCGAGGAACTCATCTGCATCCAGGAGAATGCCACTGTCTTTGTGTACGACATGTTTGGCAAGGAAAAGGAGTCCTACAGCATCGGCGACGAGGCCAGCGTTACCAAGATTGTGGAGGCCAAGGTGTTTCAGTCCTCCGCTGGCACAGGAGTGGCTGTAATGACCACCTCCGGCCGGATATTCCTCAAACAGAACAGTAGCAAGACTGAAAGAAAGCTGCCGGATATTCCCAGTAAGAAAGTTACACATAATTCGAATCACAAGAGAATCTAATTTAATTTCTTTACAGATTCCAGCATCAACTGTTCCTGCTGGGAGATTGTAACCGAGGGACGCAATAGCTACTGCCTTCTGGGAAGAGATAAAGAGGTCATCAAGCTCTTTCCCGGCGAAACTGTGGGCACCATTACCGCCAATCTCTTCGAGAAGCCGCACGAGCGAATCATTAAGATCTCGGTGTCGTACAACCACCAGCACTTGGCTCTGTACACCAACACCGGTCTTCTTTGGCTGGGCAGCGTGGATATGCGGCAAAAGTACTGCGAATTCGACACGGGACGCAAGGATATGCCTTTGCAAATGGAGTGGATCATGAATGCCGACAACAGCGAGGCGGATGCGGTGGTTATCTCCTATCCATCTTACCTTTTGATAGTTAACCGCAACGCAGATCGCAGCGATTTTCCCTACGATCCGGTCATGTTTCTGATGGCCGAGATGGATGGCGTACGCATCATAACACAAAGTTCGCACGAAATGATCCAGCGACTTCCAAAGTGCGTGGAAAACATCTTCGCAGTGAACAGCCAGGAACCGGCCAGCTATCTTTTCGAGGCGCAGAAAAAGTTCGAAGAGAAATCCTACAAGTCGGACGAGTATCTCAGCATGTGTCGGGAAAAGATCGACCTGGCAGTCACGGAATGCATTGAGGCGGCTTCATTTGAATTTTGTCCAGAGACCCAGAAGAGTTTGCTGAGGGTAAGTTTAATATATATCTTTAAATAGGTATATTTGTAAACCATTTAATTATTTTTCTAGACGGCCTACTTTGGCAAAGGCTTTATTCAAAACCACAATCCCGACGAATATATGCGTATTATGCGAATACTGAGGGTTCTTAACACTTTGCGACACGAGAGGATTGCCATGCCACTCACCTTTAAACAGTAGGTTACCCTTACAGCATGTTAAATGAATTTAAGATCTTAAACCAATCTTGATTTTAATTACAGGTTCTCACATCTTAATACCGAAGTGATTCTCAGTCGTTTGGTGTTTCGCAAGCACTATGCCATCGCCATACAAGTTGCCAAGCACTTGAACCTGCCCGAATCCTGGATTTTGGAACACTGGGCATACCACAAAGTTATCAATGATCCCAGTGAGTGCATTGTTCTATTTATCTTTTTAATTATAAGTCTGACAAGTTTGTATTCCTAGACGACATCGAAGTGGCGCGCAAGATAACAGAAAAGTTCAAGAATCCCTCGGTCGAAGGCATTTCCTTTTGCAATATTGCGGCAAAGGCCCATCAAGCTGGACGAGATGATCTAGCCATCAAACTCCTGGAGCTTGAACCTCGTGCTTCGCTCCACGTACCACTTCTTCTAAAGATGCGCAAGTTTGATAGGGCGGTGGGCAGTGCAACACAGTCGGGGGATACGGAGTTGATAACCCAAGTCCTCTTGGAGATGAAAATGCACATGATGCTGTCTAATTTACATGTAATGCTATTCCTAATACTTACAATTTATATGCTTGCTCATTTGATACATTATCCCTTTTCAGATGACCATCAGAGACCATCCCCTAGCGCTAAATATGTACAAGAAGATCATGCGGGAATCAAACAGAGCAGGTCTCTATGGCATTTACAACACCGAGGACGATCAAAAGGCAATCGCAGAGTATCACTTTGAAAATGCCATTGAAACCGAAGGTCTGGAGTCGAATTTGTCGATGATTGGAAATGCTTATGCCCAGGGACGTTGCCCTTTGGAGGCGGAACTGTGTGCGGATACCAGTCGATTAGTCAAGCTGCAGAAGACGCTGAGCACCAAGTACAATGCCAGCTTGAATGGATTATCAATACATGACACCATTCAGGAACTGCTGCAGTTAGGCGAGCTGAAAGAGGCAGAGCGGATAAGGAACGACTTCAAAGTGCCCGAGAGACGCTTCTGGTGGCTGCGAATACTCGTACTTTCGGAGCAATACAAGTGGGATGAGTTGGAGAAGCTGGCGAAAAGTAAAAAGAGTCCCATTGGCTACGATCCCTTTGTCGAGGTCTGTTTAAAGCAGGACAACGCAAGTGAGGCGCGAAAGTACATACCAAGATGTCGGGACAATCGCAGGAGCGTCTGGTATATGCGGGCCAAGTAATTAAACTGCTATATTACGTTGTATTGGATTATTGTTAACCCCTTATCTCTGCCACAGCCTCTATAACGAAGCCATAGATTCCGCCTTCGAGCAAAGGGATGTGCACAGTCTCTATGAACTTCAGAAGAATCAGGCAATCGTAAGCAATGGAACGCTGTTCAACAAAGTCTGCAACTTCATTGCCACGCTAGAAGGAAAGTAGTCGCAACATTCCTATTTATAAGCAAAACCATTGCGCATAATAAAAAGGGTATTTATTTATGTCTATAAAAACAATCTTTGAGTTTTGTTTGTAGAAAAAGTCAAGTCTCCCACTGCTATTTGTTTATGTCTATGTATGCCAAATAAAACTTTTAAAGGATTCAGTAACGACGTGCAGTTAAGTAGGTATTATATCATATATTGCCTGTGCTTTAAAGAAATACAAATCCATTGTGTCTTTATACTTAAAAATCGTATTAAGATTGTGTTGTTAAAAAGTATAATTATTTAGGGTGTTCAATTGCGTTGCAAACGTTGTAAAATGTAAAAGTGTAAATCAATTCCAACAACAATTTCTATACAAAATAGTTTTCAAAAGTAGGCCTTTAAAACTTTTTTGTATAGAAATTGTTGTTGGAATTGATTTACACTTTTACAATTTACAAAGTTTGCAACGCAATTGAACACCCTAATTAATATTTTAAAACGAAATCTTTTTCAATAATCACAACGTGATGAACTTCAGATAAATAGATCACAAACATTTTAAGTATTAAAAATGATCTATAACTATACATTTAATTTTATATAATTTTAATGGGTATTGAAACTTTGGATGGAAAATTGTTTTTGGATTATTAAGAATGATTTTGTGTTATTAATAATTATATTTATAAATTATTTGTACATATTACTTAACATGTTTGGGATTTATATACCCGCAGTTAATCACGTTGTCATCATAAGAAAATAGTGATGAAGGGAGGGGGCTAGAAAGAAACCTAATTTGACGCCTTTTTCTCACTCACCTCTGCGTTAAAGATATTACATTTGCGGAACACATTTCCCAAGAGGAATTTACCCCGGCAGTCCTGGCACACTGCCCCACTAAAAACCAGCCACTGAGCTGCCGACAGTAACTATAAACCCAGTTAACGCACACACAAATTTGGTGTTGTCCTTTGCATAAGTAACTCGACTTGGCCCCCCGCAATTTGTAGACAATTTCGTTATACGGACCATAAACGCGAATTCCCGATGCTCGACGCCTGTGTAAATAAAATTTATAATCAGTGTGCCAACTCCACGACCCGAAGGAAGCCAAGGAAAAAAATGTATTTTTGTGACGACTCCTGCTCGGCCCCATTTCTTTCCTTATTTTTTTCTTTGGCAGGATAGCCCGGCTCTGCAAACACAAAATGGCAAATGTTGACGCCTTTATTGAGTTCAAAATGTGAATGGCGTCACGGAAAATGGAGGCGGACTGGGAGAAGGAGACAGGACTTTTGGGGCTGACTGTAAGTAGTTGACATTGCCCTAAACACGTTTCCCAGCCGCAGAGAGCCAGATATTTTGTGACTTTACGGGGGAAGCCGTGTCGTCGGGTACACGGAATTCCAATTAGTCTTCATTTTTAGCAAATCTAACGCACACTCCCCCTTTATTTTCCTGGCCAATTTTGCAAAGCGTCGACCATATTTGCCTCGCTGTTTCCCTGGTAACTACCATTTTGCCCGCAATTTATGTCCACTTCGATGTTCGATTTGTGAGCCGAATTTATTTGCAATTTTCGGCCGTTGTTTAAAAAACGCTTTCGCCGACTGTCAGTCGCGGAAACCATTGGTGGTTTTTCCTGCGGTTTTGGTCTGCCCTGCAACATTTCCGTCCAAGCAGCAGATGGGCTTTCGGTGGCTAAATGTCAGCCCCGACATGACAAACTAAAAGGATATTGCATTTTAAAGAGCCAACATACATTTGCCATGAAGGGATTATTCTCAAATTAATATTTGATGGGCGGCTGGTGTGCTGACATAATTGAAACACCCCAAAAACATATCCATTTCGCTTCGATGGCCTTCAGCAAAGAACAAATATTACTACACTTTGAATGGAAAGCCAACAGGACGCAGCTACAAAACTGTTTACCAACTGTATACATTTATTTGCAGAGTCAGCGGACAACCACTGCAAAGCTGCACCGATATTATAGTCTCCGCTCCGTGTTATTGATGGCCACATTCCGCGCTTTTTATTTCATTGCATTTTTATATTTTTAATAAACTCGCAAAAGCGACAGAAATTACAAGGGATGTCAGGACGAATTTCTGGCAGCCAGCCAAAAAAAAAAAAAGGAACGATGGAAGGACCAAATAAAACCCGGTTGCGAAATATGGCGACTGCAATGGCGGACGTCGGGGGCTTTGCCTCAATTTATGTGTCGACTCGCACAGGACACTTTAAGAATATTATAAAGGAATAAATCAAGGCATTTTGCCTGCACAGGACACCGGAGGCGAAAGCGGTGGCGGTGGTCACGCCTAAGACCTCAGAGACTCTCCTGTTTCGTCCTGTCCCTGTGCATTATTAATGCGCCCCGTAAACCCCACCATGTCCAAAACTTTCGCCTTTGTATATTCTGTGTACTGTGTAGTTTTCCCCACACCGCTCAGCTCTTCCTTTTTGACCGTCTCAAGGCCAGCACACACATTTCGGGAGCTTTTGTTTTCACTGCGTGCTTAAGACCCAGAAAAATATGTCAGCCCGGCGAGAGCTACAATTTATCATCCCTGCCCTGAATGGAGGCCGAGATTGGTGGCCGTTCAGATCCTTCAGGTTCCTTCTGGTCAGTGGCTCATCATCGGTGGCTGGAAAGCCAACGCCTGGAGCTGTCAAACGCAAATGTTGGCCCGATGTTCGGATTAGCATATAACAAGCGAAGGACATATCTGCTTGTATCTGGTGTATCTGGGCAATCCCTGAATATGTGTGTTTGTTCACGTGTCCTCGCAGGACGTCAGCTGGGATCTACCGCCCCCCTCCAATTGTTTACGAAAGTATTTCTTTCATTCGATGTCGTTCCATATAAAACAGATGTCGTCGCTCTTATTATGACCGACCATTCTCCAAACGGCATATGGAAAAAAGTTATGACATTTTTTCAGGTATCACACGAAATGATTTGTTTACGTGCGGGACGAAAAATAAGAATTTTTATTGCCAGCAATATTGCTATTTGTAGAGGTACATTCAGCTGATGCGTTTGCATTATTCATTTCTAAATTTATGCGCTATAGTTACCGGTGAAAATCCAGGAATATAATAATAATTGTTTTATTGGAAATGAGAGTGGGAACTGTATTAAAATTATAAAAAAAAGTCGTTTAAAAAAAGAAACTAAACAAATTGTGAGTAAAATATTTCTAATCTCAGTTTACAGATTTATAATTTAGAGTTTATTTAGAAAATTTTTCTATATATTAAAAATTGACTCAAAGTTAGTTATTAATTTCGATTATTCTAACATAAACTCAGGAAAGTAACAAATTAAATTTAAATTCACTTTAGATTGCGGAGACATGAGTGCGACATCTGTTTGTGTGAATATCCTATCGGCTGCACAAAATGCGGGCTGGCTCAAAGGACGAAATCCTGCTGGTGGCCAACTGCAATGAATGCCAGAACGTGGTCGTTATCCCCGTTTGGCCCTAAGCGCCATAAGCATTTTCTTATGCTCTTATTTATATGGAAGAAAAAAGGAAACCGAATATTTACCCATTTCAGTTGCCTGCAACACTTTTGGCCACTTCCGGGCTGCCTCACTTTTGGCTTGACATGGCCACAAACTGGGCCTGCGGCTGAGGTGCCTTTCTCCCCCAATTCCCCCTGGCGGTATTGGTTCTGCCGTTGACACCGGTCCGACTGGATCTGGACCCGTTAGTTATTCACTTTGGACCGCTCTGCGGCTGGCCATTTGCCGCCCACACGGGCGACACATTTTTTGGCCAATGCGACTTCGGGCTCGGCTGAATTTATGCCGCCTGCTCTGCCAGAATTGTTATTAATAGCCGATGCGATACATCCTGGCACCCCCGTTTTAGCCAGAAGCCCAGCCACATGCACCTCTAACATTTCTGCATATAAATTTTGATTGCAGCCCCATAAAAACAAAGTTATGTTTTGCGGTCGAGATCAGGTGACTCTTTTTAAATATACTAAAATGTTGGTCTGAAAGCGGACACAGCTATGAATTGTTACAGTTTTTGGATTGCAACCAGACCATATTTATTTAATTGCATAGGGTAGGGTATTATAATTTCAGTCTGAAGTAGACGTTTTCGACTACATCGTTTGTAGTTTTCAAAGATGGTTAATTAAACGGTAAGTATGTATGCATTTTAACTGCAAGGGTAAAGAAAACATCGGTTTACCGAAGTTAACTTCTTTTCTTGTTTTAAAGTATTTTTAAAAATCTCTCTATTTATGGTTTTAAATAAAAAAATATATTTTTTTTTGCACTTTTGTATAAATTAGTATATTTTTATACCCGTTACTCGTAGAGTAAAAGGGTATATTGTATTCGTGCAAAAGTATGTAACAGGTAGAAGGAAGCGTTTCCGACCCCATAAAGTATATATATTCTTGATCAGGATCACTAGCCGAGTCGATCTAGCCATGTCCGTCTGTCCGTCTGTCTGTCTGTCTGTCTGTCCGTCTGTCCGTATGAACGCTGAGATCTCGGAAACTATAAAAGCTAGAAGATTGACATTTTGCATGCAGATTCTAGGAGTTCCTACGCAGCGCAAGTTTGTTTCAAAAGGGTGCCACGCCCCCTCTAACGCCCACAATCGCATATATACGATTTTAAAAATTTCAATATTTTGGAAAAGTAAAAATGCAGTTTTATTGTGTTTATCAATACCTATCGAAATGTAGAAGAAATTTTTTAAATCGGACCATTCGTTAAAAAGTTACGGCGGATCAAAGTTTTTCTCCATCTCTTTCGCACTCCCTTTAGCTGAGTAACGGGTATCTGATAGTCGGGGCACCCGACTATAGCGTTCTCTCTTGTTTATATTTTTTTTTTATCAAGGAAGATAACTATTAAAATTAGCAAATCTTTCTAAATGTATAATATAAATATCCTACCATAATTCACTCATATTTACAATTAAAGTAATCGTTTACGCGTAAAAACACCTTAAGCACTTGTAAATAGACAGTGAAACTACTTTACTTATAGACGCTCTCAGAGCTTCGAAAACTTTGCGAGCGACTCAATCACCTAACAATTTGAA